GGAGGAACCTGACGTTGCCCCTTGGCTCTCGGGCCGCAGCTCGGCTCTCTGCCGCGGCCGTCCGGGACGCTCTCCGGACACCCCTGCAGCGCTCTCGGCGAGGCGCGGCTGCTGGCATACACCCCGAGGCTGGCCGACCTCGCCGCGAGCCGAAGACGCGACCGAGAACCTCAAACCTCGAAGCCGCTTCGCCCCGCCACATAGCGCTGCCCCCGACGAGACCCCTTCCGGGGCCCAGCCCCGCCCAGCCTCCCGAGCCCGCGCGCGCCCAGCCGTGGCGACCAGCGCCACCAGCCGGAGCCGGCAGCACAAACGCCGCCGCCCGCTGGCGCCGCCGGCGCCGGCGCCGGCGCCGCCGCAGCCGCAGTCATCGTCGCCGTCGTCGTCGTCGTCGTCGTCGTCGTCGTCGTCGTCGTCGCCGTCGTCGTCGTCGTCGTCGTAGGCGTCGTCGTCGTCGTAGGCGGTGGCGATCGCGTTGGTCCTTCCCGAGAAGGTCGTACCGCTCGCGCAGCTTCGGGTCGCTGAGCACCTGGCGCGCGGCACCGGGGCGGCCTCCACGCCCTGGCGCTGCCTCGGGCCGCTCGGGGGGCCTGCCGAGGCCCGGCGGCACTGCCCGGGGGGGGGGGGGGCTGTTCGCGCGCAGCCCGCAGCCTTACCGCATGGGACGGCAGAGAGGACAGATCCCGCTGAGGGCAAATGCGGATGGGGACACATCAGGGATCCCTGAGGGCTGACGGTCCCGCTGAGGGTCTCGTATCGGGCGCCGCGGCCGCTCTCGAACGCCCTTGCACAGGGCTGGCAGCGGCCCCACTCCTCCGATCCGAGGAGGCGGGCCGACAGCCCGACGCAGCGAGAGGAAGACGTTGGGAGCACTGGGGTGTCACCTGACAACGCAGTTCACAACAGTGCCCAGGAGGAAGTGGCAAAAACTTCTGCTGCTCAAATCCTGGAGCTCTGAGTCACTCGAACTGTCCGAAAGGGGGCCACCAGGGTGTGAGTGCTGTCCCCGTCGAGTACGGGACAGGTTCTGCCTCCCTTTGGGGGTTACCTCACAAGGCTGAGCTAACTGCCTGCTGTCGGGCGTGCAGGCCTTACCACACCGTGAGCAGAAGATTCGCATACACTTGCTACACTGCTGCAGACGACGGGTGTGGTGCAAGCTTTGGCCTCCAATCTTTTGGGGGGCCGCGGTAGGGAGCAACTTCCCTCGCCCCCCGCTCGGCACACCGCGACTCACACGGCTGGAAGGTCGACTCCTGATGCGAAGCCATACTACATTTCTTGCAAGCGGATCTGGGGGCAGCGCGGGCCCAGGAGTGACACAGGAGTCCCTGTGCGCCCGCGCGAGCCTCAGAAGAGCGGGCACGCCGTGGAGGAGGAGGAGGAGGAGGAGGAGGAGGAGGAGGAGGAGGAGGGGGAGGAGGAGGAGGAGGAGGAGGAGGAGGAGGAGGAGGAGGAGGAGGAGGAGGAGGCCAACCCCCGCGGTCCGAGGATCAGCCTGGCTGCTCCTCGCCAAGGCTGAGCCTAAAACGGTGCTTTTCGCTTTCGTTTTCCCTCGTGTTGTCTTCCATCCGCCTTTACCGGGAACGTAAGTCGAAACGAGAACGGCCCACGAAGTCGCCCAAACACCGTTTCAAGGTCCACCCCTGCTTCTCGCCAGGAGCTCTCCGCGCCCTCCCATGCACTGGCGCCCGCTTGGCGTCTCTCTTTCATCTGTGGCAAGGATCGGGGCCACAACGTACCGAGACCACGCTATCTCGGCCACCTGGGAGGCGAGATTGTCAGCGCACTCGTTGCCAAACGCATCGCGCAGCTGGGCAGGGGAGGGGTTGGCAAGTCTGCGAACGTCTACCTGAGGCGGGGTCCAGACGAGTTTGACTTGGCCTGCGCCGCGGGAGGCGTGAATCGGGAGCGGATGTCAGCATTGCTACCAAGCCTCCGACGGGGTCCGCCAACTTGCTGACTTCTGCTCCAAGTCTCGAGAAGCGGCCACTTGTCAGTAACGTACCTCTGGTTCCCGACCGTGGTCTCGAGGACCTTGCAACGCAACCAGCATCTTTAGGTCGGGCATGTCCTCCTGCAGGCGGATTTTGGACGAGAAATAAGACACACTCAAAACATCCTCCCAAATGTTCAAACTATGTTTGTACTATTTTTGAATGTTCCTCCTGTAGAGGGACACGCCTGACTTAAACCATTCTCCGCTGTTTGCACAATTTGTCTGCGCCCCTGCAAGGTCGTTCCCAGACCCGCCGCGTGGCGCCACACCCGTGAGGAAGGATACCTACAACTGCCGGCACTAGCCGTGCGACGCCGAACGTAGTCCGAAAACCTCCAACCTGACCCGTCCCCGAAGATCGTGACAAACTGCTGGGCGTCGCGGGGGAGGTCCGAAGAGGGATCCGAAATCAACAATTCAAATGAGGGGCTCTCGGGCAAAGCTGGGAGTGGTTTCGCTCACAGCGGGAAGGCCTCGAAGCCAGTAACTGGGGGAAGATTCCTGCTGGGCTACGGCGTGAGCCAGAAGATGCTGGGAAGACTCAAAGTCATTGTGACTCCTATTATCAGTACATTCCCACACTTGATGGCAGAGTGACTCGCTCATGAAATTGACTCGCGGGCAAAGCTTGTCAACGTCGTAGCCTGCTGCCCTTATTCTCTCTCTCTCTCTCGAGGCCACTGCGCCCCAATGACGACGACGACTTTGAGCGCCCACTGTCGCCGTCCCCGTCCACTCCGTGCTCCTCAAATTCTCTCTTGACGAGCAACAGAAGAGAGGAGGTCAGAGGAGGCCAGGATGGGAAAAGCGGAGTGTGGCTTTCAGAAGGGAGCACTCCTCGTGTACGCCACTGTGAGGAGCGCCGTGCCAGTGGGCCAGCGACAAGCCACACCCCGAAAGAGGGGACGGGCATACGAGGCGAGACGGAAGAGGAGGAACATGCTCAGGGAGGAGAGGACATATTCGGCATCGAGCCCAGGCCGGGCCGCCCCGCCCCCGCCCTCCTGGGGGAGCGCGCCCGCCTGGTAAGCCGTCGAGAGCTGCTGGAAGCGCTGGGCCGCGGCAGGGTCGTCCGGGTTTTTGTCGGGGTGCACCTGGCCAGGATCGTCCTCATCGTGCTCCGCGTCGTCGTCCTCCTCCTCATTTAATGACGCACTGACTCTGATCACGTGATTGTTGCATCTATGCGGCGAAGAACGTGCAACAACCGACTGGAGTGATGTAGCCTCCTGCACCTCCTCCTGGTCCTCCTCCTTTACTCGGCCTCGTCCTCCCTAGTTCTTGCTCTCCTTCTCTCTTTCGTGCTCCCGCCGGCGCCGTCGAGCGCGTGCTGTTTTTTGCCCTCGAAGGCTCAAGCACCCACCCAGCTCTGCGACTCTTGGAAAAACGAAAAAGTACGTTTTATTTGTCGGCGTCCGGAGGCACCAGGATGAGAAGGCAGCTCGGGGGAATGGGCCAGCAGCTCTGGGGGTCTTCGCTGCGGAGAGATGGCGTTGCGTCGGGGGTCTGGGACCGAGGATCGAGGAGCTTGGGTCCATCTCAAGAACCAGGATTGAAATCTCATTTTCTTTTGGGGAGGGGTTCTTCAAGACCGAGGTCAGCGGAACTCCTTCTTGATGGCCATAAAAGCTGAAACATCCCAAGCCGTGATCTTCCGTGGATCTTCCTCCTCCTGGCCAAGGTCGCCCTCGTTCTCCTTATCCTCTTTCCTACTCCTCCTCCTCCTCCTCCTCCTCATTCTCCCTCCTCCCTCCTCCTGCTCCTCCTCCTCCTCTTCCTCTCCCACCAACCTGCCAGTTTTCCTATTCTTGTGTTGCTCATCTCAGCGCACTGGCATCGTAATGATAAGCCCCCGTCCATCCCTCTCCCGCCTCCTGCTCGCGCCTCCCTACCTCCTCCGCATACCCCCTCCCCCTTTCCCTCCTCCTCCTCCTCCTCACCCCTCCTCCTCCTCCCCCATCCATCCTCCTCCTTCCATCCTTCCACCTCCTGCCTCCTCCTCCTCCTCCTCCTCCTCCTCCTCCTCCTCCTCCCTTCAGGTGTAATATACACTAATGACCGAACCCGCGCAAACGCCTCGGATCAACAACCGGAGGACACTGCATCGTGCGAGCTCGTCAAACACTCGCTGAACTGCCAACACTTGCCAACACAGTTCCACTGGTGCGGTGGCCTCGCATTTTTCTGAACATGGGGGGATCAACACGCTGGACCCCCTCGGGATCAGTGCGAGGCCATTTCTCCATTCAATTCGCTGCAAGGGTGGTGACATCTGGCCATCTCCAAAATGAAGTTCAAGGTCTCCGCTTCAGCGCCCGAGCACCTTGGGTGCAACAGGCATCCCCCTTCGCAGCTGCATCTGTTGCGTTATCACCGATGGTATGCAGACGCTCGGTCATAGACAGAGGTAAGTCATCCTCCTTGTGGGCCCAACCTTGTGGAAACACCAAGCTTGTGGAAACACCAAGAAGACGACCCTGAGAACAAGACATGGTCTGCATGACGAGGCCACTGTAGGGCCTGTGAGGGTGCAGGCTATCCCGCGGAGACTTCGACAACTTGTTGAGCACAAACTGGCAGTCCGACGAGGAGAAGGAAGAGGAGGAGGAGGAGGAGGAGGAGGAGGAGGAGGATCGTACGTGGAGGGGACGGGCGAAGAGGATGATGGACAGAGAGTGGCTAAGTGGAGCGGAGCAGAGCAAGTATAACCAACTCGAGATCCTGGCGAACCCGAACATCGCGGGCGACAGGCATCTGCCGCCAGCCCAGGCCGCCCATGGGGGGCTCGGACCAGCTAGCTCAAAACGGCGTTCCTGTGCGCGGGGTGCCTACCCAAACATCCGATGTCTGGATTATTTTCGTATACGGGGTCCCGACCCTTTCCCAAAGGACGGATTTCCATCCAGGGTCTGTTGACGGTCCTGGCCCAACGAAGGCACCTGGAGGCCGGAAAACAGCATGCAAAAACATTTCGTCGTGTCTTTGTTCGCGACGCGAGCATGTCTGGGTACCTTCTTACAGACGCCCCAAACGCCCAGGAGGAGGGACCTTCACGGCCATCTTGTAGTACGCCCGCTTGATCTCCATTCCGGAGGCGTTCGGGGACACCTCGAGCACGTCGTAGTACTCCTGGGGTGGGTGGGGGAAGCAGCCGACGAAGGAGGAGGAGGAGGAGGAGAAGGGAAGGAGGAGGGAGGAAGGAGGGATGATGATATTGATGATGATGCTGAGCCTGTTGATGATACTGATGCTGATGCTGATGCTGCTGACGACGATGACGATGACGATGACGATGATGATGACGACGATGATGATGCTGATGATGAAGATGTTGATGATGCTGATGATGATGATGCTGACGATGAAGATGAAAATGACGATGATGATGATGCCGATGCCGATGCCGATGACGATGATGATGATGACGATGATGATGACGATGACGATGAATATTAATATGAAGATGAAGATGAAGATGAAGATGATGATGATGCTGATGATGATGATGCTGATGCTGATGACGATGACGATGACGATGATGATGATGATGATGCTGCTGCTGCTGCTGATGATGATGATGATGATGATGATGATGATGATGATGATGCTGACGCTGATGGTGGTGGTGGAAATGGGGAGGAGGGTGCGGAGGTGGTGGAGACATTAGATGCGGATGATGAGGAGGATGATGAGTGGGGAGCAAGCTGGTGTGTGCTGGTGGGCCGTTGGGGCAGGCCGTGTCGGCACGGCATGTGGGACCACCAGCAGGCCCGGGGCGGGTGGAGGCCGCTCGGCGTGCAAGCAGTGCGGGCAAGGGCTTCCCGCGGCGCAGGCGCCCACGACAGCCGCGCGCGCCAATCCCACGAGCCAGCCCCTGGCTGCCAGCTCCTGGACGCAGCCACGTCCATGAGGCCCTCCTCTCGCTGGAGGGCGCCCCCTCTGCGAGGGGGCCCTCTCTCTGGGACGCCTGGGCCCCCTCTGCGAGGGGGCGGCGGCCGCGAGGAGCACAGGTGTCGATCTCGAGGGGGATTGGCCGCGGAGGCCCTTCTCACTCGAATGATATTTTTCCTTGTGGGAGTCCTCCTTCTCCTCCTCCTCTTCCTCCTTCTCCTCCTCCTCCTCCTCATCCTTGTCCTCCTCCTCCTCCTCCTCCTTCTCCTCCTCTTCCTCCTCCTCCTCCTCCTCATCATCATCATCTTCTTCTTCTTCTTTCTCCTCCTCCTCCTCCCCCTCCTCTTCCTCTTCCCTTCCTCCTCCTCCCCCTCCTCCTCTCCTCCTCCCTCCTCCTCCCCTCTACTGGTCCTCCTCTTACTGTCCTCCTCCTCCTCCTCCGCTCCTCCTCTCCTCTCCTCTCTCCTCCTCCTCTTCTCCTCCTCCTCCTCCTCCTTCTCCTCCCCCTCTTTCTTCCAGTAGGGGGACCTCGCCGAGGGCCCCTGGCGGAGCCCCCCCCTCGCTCGCCCTCGCAGAGAGGGTCCTCGCCCGGAGGCGCCGCGGGCACGACAACGACGACGACGACGAACCTCGCAGCGGGCCCCCCCCGCGGGGAGAGCGCGCTCCTTGTCCGTGACGCGGACGGGGCGGCCGTCCGCGTCGAGGCGCGGCTCGCCTCGTCGGGGGGCCCGGTCGTCGTCCTCTCCCCCTCCCAGGCAGCACGGTGGGAGCACAGCACGTGTGCTAGACTCCTTTTTGTTGGGGGGGGGCTCGCTCGTCGTCCTCCTCCGCCTCGCCTCCTCCTCTCGCCTCCGCCCCCCCCCCCCCTCCTCCTCCTCCTCAACCTCCCCTCTGGCCTCCTCCTCCTCCTCCTCCTCCTTCTCATTTTTTCTTCCCCCAAGCGCAGGACACCTTGGTGCTGGCCGGTTTGACACAGATGCTACATATGAAATCTGAAGCTCCTTCAAGAGCGATCGCCCCAACTGAAGAGGACGGTATTGGTCCATCAATGTGCCGCCCGGCCATGCACAATGGATGCGAGCTCCACCCCGCAAACGTGCAAGTATGCACTTCGACGTGCCATACCGCCGCAGAACAAGATGCTTGCCGTGTGCACCCATCGCTGTGGACCGAGATGTTTGTGCATTGAACACTAAGACTCCCAACGGGTGGTTGAAATCTCTGGCATCAAGACTTCCGCTCATCGTCAGACAACACAATCAGCTGGCGATTAACATCGGCGCAATTATCAACGGCTGCATCACCTTCCGATAGACTTTGGTACCATAGTCTGACGGCCTCTCTTCCATTGCAGCCACTTTCAATGCAATGACCTGGCAACCAACTCCCAGTGCAAACAATTCATGACGATGATCTTTGGTGGAATGTCTTCACTTGCCCATACCTTCCAAACAAACTTGATTGAATGACCTGGTCACTGGCCGCTACCATCGCTGCAACCATCCTCGGTGCAATCAATTTCCGGTCCGTTGGCGGCGTGATCACGTGACGACTACTTTCCGCGCAGTGTAGTCCAGTCCCAAGGGTTAGGTCGGGCATGTCCCCCTACAGGCGGATTTCGGACGAAAAATAAAACATAGCCAAACATTATTCCAGAATAGTCAGAAATACTCGAAACATCGTCGCCTGACTATTTTTTGACAATTGTTTGAATATTCCTCCTGCAGAGGGCCACGCCCGACTTACTCAAGGGCAGTCAATCAACCTTACTCGATGCATTTGCCTTCCCAAACCTCCGACGCCATGTGATTCTCAACACGCCTCCCCTGGAACCGTCGTCTCCTTCCAGGGGACCGCATGTTCATCCTGACTAATTCGTTGAGGGCCCCCGGGCCCAGAAATTGCCCCCAGAGGCCGAACATGTGGACAAACCGCCCGCCTTGACTTTTTATCACGTTGGAGGTCTGTGCCGTAATCCTGCAATCGCCGCGCAATGCGATCACCTGGCGCACCACACCTTTACCATTAACATTTTCCTCAGCAGAGAGGGCTGCAACCCAGGTCCGGCCGCCGCAAGAGACTTGTGACGCCCACACGGGCATCCTGTGATTGTCCTGCGCCATAGTTACAGCTCCCGGCCTCACGGAGATGCACGGGCTCCTCCTCGTGCATCAGCAGCCTGGGAGACCGCAGACAGAGGATGCGCCAGAAAGTCAGGAGATGCCGAGGCCAGCGCTTGTGCTGGTACGCGGCTCCCTTCCAGCAGCAGGCTGGGGCAAAATGGCAAAAATGGGTGGCAAGAAGCGCCGCCACTTGCTCGTGGCACCAACGAGGGCCAGGCTGGCGCGTGCGCGTGAACCGAGGCACGACTGTACGTCTCAAAACTCGCAAGCGCTCGACACGGCGTCGGTGGGAGGCTCCCTCGTCGAGCCGGCCTAGCACTGCGGTGCCTGGCGGAGGCAGCGCTCATGTGGCGAGGGCGGCGGGCGACAGAGAGCACCCGATCACAAGCACTCGCTGCTCACCTGTCCGCTTAGCGTGTCCAGAAGAGCAACAGTCGGCGTCAACATGAGCTTTCGGAGGTCCGTGCGGACCTCCGAAAGCTGATGTCTATTCAGGTTGTTGTTCCTCGAGCGTTGCCCGTCACTACCGCCGATGAGGCGGCGGCGACTCAGGCAGGTCGCCTCGAGGGAAGCTCCCGAGGCGCGGCTCGGCTGACGCTCGTTTGGGGCGTGTGGTACAGCTTCGGATCAAGCACAGACGGCCCCCCCAGGCAGTCCTGGCCAGCTCCAATCGGGAGCGGCCAAGAGGGGGGTGTCCAAGGGGGGGGGCGCAAATCATGACCGGCGGCATGTGCGCGGCCCAGCGGGGGCGCCAGGGACGCAACGAAACAAGAGGAGGCGCCATGAACTCTGGGGAAACATCCTGGCCCCCGCCATGAGATCCCCCCCCCCCTTAAGTCATCCCCCCCCCCTCGTGGCCGCCCCCGAACCAGCAGGCCCCGTGACAGAGTCCGGGGCCCCCGCCATGATATTCCACCCCCCCTTAAGTCATCCCCCCCCCCTCGTGGCCGCCCCCGAACCAGCAGGCCCCGTGACAGAGTCCGGGGCCCCCGCCATGATATTCCACCCCCCCTTAAGTCATCCCCCCCCCCTCGTGGCCGCCCTCCGAACCGAGGCCCCATGAGATAATGTCGGGGCCCCCCGCCTTGATTTTTCCCCCCCTATAGTCATCCCCCCCCCCTCGTGGCCGCCCCCGAACCAGCAGGCCCCACGAGAAAGAGTCCGGGGCGATCTCGGCACCCCGGGAGCGCCGCCTCTGGCGCCTCCCCTGGGGCGCTCCGCGCCCCACGGCTGGGGTGCTCCGCGGCCGCCCCCGGGCTGCGGGGGAGGAGGCCGCCCCGTCGAGGCCACGGCAGCCCAGCCCGCCGGGGCCGCCCAGGCCCAGCTCCGCTCGAGATTGGCCACCTGAGGTGAGAGAGGAGCCCCGGGCTCGCTGGGGGCTCCGCTCGAGATGGGCCCCCGAGGCGAGAGAGGAGCCCCGGGCTCGCTGGGGGCTGGTTTCCCCCCCATAGCGACGAGAGCCCTTCCCCCCAAACCCCCGCGAAAGCCTCCGCAAGGCCTCCCGGGAACCCTTCCCGGAGGGTTTCCGGGGTGTTTCGGGAGGGCTTCGGCCGTTTTGAAAGGAAACCTGTCCCCAGGGAACCCTGGACTTTCCAACCTCAGGTCGGGCAGCGGTGCCATGCGAACCCTCCTACTGGAGCCTTCGGTGGAGCTCCCTGTGGGGCCACGAAGCGCGCGAGGGGTGTGCCGAACTGGGTGCAGTGGTGCCATGCGAACCCTCCCACTGTGACAGGCCTAGAGGTTGATGACACCAACACCAATTTCGGCGGCGTGCCTCCACTGAGGGAAGAGGATCCCGATCTCGGTGATGGTGGTCACATTATGGCTGCCAAGGTGACCAACGTATTACCACCAACACCGAAATCTAGGATCATTCTCACCCTGTGGAGGCACCCCCCTTGTGTTGGTGTTGGTGCCCATTTCTAGGCCTCCAACACTGGAGCCTTCGAGGCGGCTGCATGGAGCCGTGCGGGGGGCCCGAGGCAAGGAAGTCCACCGCCGAGAAGGGCCACGCAGTGCTGCCTCGGCGGGCCGGCCTGGTCCTCAGAGATCGGGGGCCCGCCGGGACTGCCCGTCGAAATCTGTGGTCAGGTCGGACATGTCCCCCTACAGGCGGATTTTGGAAGAACAATGGGAAACACTCAACAATATGCGCCCAAATAATCAAAAGAACAGTCGACAAATCGTCCCCAGACTATTTTTTTGACTATCTTTGAATCTGTCTCCTGTAGCGGGGCATGCCCGACTTACACCTACTGCAGGTCCGTGCCGTGTCGACCCTGGCGTTGGTTCCTGACACCGCACTGGATCGTTCAACCTTGAACGATCGGCCGTCACCGCAACGTCCGATCGTGAATGTCGGCGGCGGGGTCGCCGCCGGTCGACACGACGCGAACCTACCGTATGGTAAGCACGGGCGGTAGGGACGCAATGGGGCCTCGGAAGCCGAAGGCGGCACTTTGTTTGGGGGGCGGCGGACGGCCAACGCCCTGAAGGGCTGGCCCGTGAGAGAGCCGCGGTGGACGGGCCGCAGAGGCAGGGGCGCAAAGGGTGCCCCTGGGACATCTGCGCGTCCTCACTGGGAGGAGGAGGAGGAGTCCAGGAGGAGGGGAAGGAGGAGGAGGAGGAGGAGGAGGAGGAGGAGGAGGAGGAGGAGGTGGAGGAGGAGGAGGGGGAGGAGGGGGAGGAGGAGGAGGAGGAGGAGGAGGAGGCGGGGCGAGGAGGAGGAGGAAGGAGGGGAGAGGAGGAGGAGGAGGAGGGAGGAGGGGAGGAGGAGGAGGAGGGGGAGGAGGGGGAGGGGAGTGAGAAGGAGGAGGAGGTGGAGGAGGAGGAGGCAGGAGGAGGAGAGGAAGGAGGAGGAGGAGGAGGAGGAGGGAGGGGGAGGAGGAGGAGGGAGGAGGAGGAGGGGGAGGGACATCTGCGCGTCCTCACCATCTTTGGACGCCCGACATGGGTACCGAAAGAATGGGCACTATGCCCAACAACAAACGTTGTCCCAAGCCAGCAGCGGCCGCTGTTGGGCAGGCGGCCCTCTGTCTCAAATGGACACAGGACGCGGCGGCGTGGACGGCGAGTCCGGTTCAAAATGAACAGGAACTGCTGTTGGGCATCGTACCCATTCTTTCCGTGCCCATCTCGGGCGTCCCAAACATCTGCGCGTCCTCACTAGGAGTCTTGACTGCGCCCGGTGGTCGGACCACGCAGCAGGAAGGCGTTGGAAGTAGATCGGGCTTCCGTCTGCCCCCTGCAGAGGGAGGAAGAGGTGAAGCCGCTCGATCATGGAAGTAGGAAGGCGCCCAAGTAGAAGAGGAATCATAACATCCAAGAAACCCGCGAGGAGCGCCATCGATTTATGTTCATGGCGTTTTGTTTCCTTCTCCGAAGCGAAAATGCCTTCTTTCAGCGACTGGCGTGTACCTTTAGGTCGGGCGTGTCCCCCTACAGGCGGATTTTGGAGGGCAAATAAAAAATAGCCAAGAAATGCCCAAATAAGAAATTCGAAAATGATCAGGAAATCGTCCCCAGACTATTTTCGGACTATTTTTGAACATTCCTCGTGTAGACGGGCATGCCCGACTTGGTGTACCTGGGGGGATGCCTCTGTGCAGACCGAGGGGCCGTAGGCGACCCTAGGGGGGGAGGAGGAGGAGGAGGAGGAGGAGGAGGAGGAGGAGGGGAGGAGGCAGGGGAGGGAGGTAGGAGGAGAGTGAGGGGGAGGAGGAGGAAGGAGGAGGAGGAGAGAGGAGGAGGAGGGGAGGAGGAGGAGAGGAGGGGGAGGAGGAGGAGGGGAGGAGGAGGAGGAGGAGGAGGAGGAGGAGGGAGAGGAGGAGAGGAGTCCAGGGGAGGGGGAGGAGGAGGAGAGGAGGAGGAGGAAGAGGAGGAGAGGAGGAGGAGGAGGAGGAGGAGGTGGAGGGGGAGGAGGATGAGGGAGGAGGAGGAGGAGGAGGAGGGAGGAGCGAGGGAGATTGGGAGGAGGAGGGAGGGGAGGAGGAGGAGGGTGGGGAGGAAGGAGGAGGACGGGCCGCCTAGGCCCTTCGGAGAATGCCTCCACCTGGGGGGGATGCCTCTGTGCAGCCCGAAAAGCCTCGCCCGGGGGCGCGGCTCACCAGGTGTTCGCCGGTGCCGCGGGCCCCTCCTGGCCGTGCCGCGCCTTCTTGGCGGGCGGCTCCATGTTGCCGCCCTCGCGCTCCGCCCACCGCACCGCGAGGTCGTCGCAGTTGATCCCCGTCATGGCGTCCCCGATGTTCTCGGAGATCTCGGCGAGGACCTGAGGGGGGAACGTTGGGGGGGGGGCGTTCAGGCTTCGAACTTCGAGCGGTGAAGTCTCTGACGTTTTCGCTGGTTGTCAGCCTCGGGGTGCTCTCCGGCAGCTGCGCCTCGCCGAGAGCGTCGTCCCGGGGGTTCCTGGAATCGTCCCGAACGGCCGCGGGAGGCCTGACCTGTGACCCGAGAACCACCAGGGGACTGGCTCAGTGGGGGAAACATCGACCTGGAATTGGCGAGACATCGCCGATAGATCGGCGATAGGTTTTCGATAATTAGCGAATCCGCACGTTCCTGGCTGGGTGGGCCATCGGGCCCCTACTAGCGATGAGCGGGCGATTGGAGGTTGATGCATCTCTCCCTGATCCTATGCCCCTCTAACGTTGCCGCTGAGGACCTTGGGGTCGTTGAAATGCGTGGTCGCCTTCACGATTGCGCGGGCGCGCTTCTCCGGCTCCGTGGACTTGAATATCCGCCACCGTGCCCAGAGGCACGAGTTGGAGTGTCGTCAGGTCCTGCGATTCCTCCGTCCTCAGTCCTGGGGATTCTATAACGGGGCCCACAGCCAGTAGTTCTCGGCACTTCTGGCGCTTGTCGCATGGCTTCGAAGCCAAGAGGGCCTCAAGACGGCCAGGTCCCCGCAGGCGTCCAAGCTGCCTCTGACCTACAATCAAGGCGCGGTGGGGTGATGGGCCGAAGGCACCTAGATGCCGCTGCCAACGAAGACGCCCTCCACGCCCAGCTGCATGCACAACGCGGCGTCCGCGGGAGTCGCCACGCCCCCCGCCGCGAAATTGACGACGGGCAACTTGCCGTCCTTCTTCACCTGCCTCAGGAGCTCAACTGGCGCGCCGATCTCCTTGGCGTGCGTGAAGAGCTCGTCTTCATCCATCATCTGGACGGCCCGGATCTCCTGTTTGAACGACCGACATGGGCATGGAACACATGGGTACGATGCCCAACAGCAAATGTTGTCCAAAACTGACAGCAGCCACTGCTGGGCAGGCGGCCTTCTGTCTCGAATGGACAACGTCCGTGGTGACGCGGACAGCGAGTCCTGTCTAAAATGATCAGCAACTGTAGTTGGGCATTGTGCCTATTCTTTCCGTACGGCAAGTTCGCGTCGTGTCGACCCCGGCGTTGGTTCCTGACACCGCGGGGATCGTTTAAACTTGAACGATCGGCCGTTCCGTGAACACCCGATCGTTTAACGACGGGCCGATTCTGGGCCACGGGAGGCGTTCAACCTTCAAAGCGCGCGCTGGGGTCGGCCGATCCTTGTGCAAGGTGCGCACGTGGAGGACGGCAGAGTTGACGTCGCCGGTGCCGGCCTCACCCTTCGTACGGATCATGCTGGCCCCCTCGGCGATGCGCCGCAGCGCCTCGCCCAGGTTCCTGCAGCCGCACACGAAGGGCACCTTGAACTTGTTCTTGTTGACGTGGTTGTGGTGGTCCGCCACCGTCAGCACCTCGCTCTCGTCGATGCAGTCGACGCCGAGTTCTTGGAGGATCTGCGCCTCCACGAAGTGGCCGATGCGGCACTTCGCCATCACCTGGAGGAACGGAAAGAACGCGATGCTGCTACTCCCCTGACCTTTCCTGGGGTGCGTTCTGACCAGGATTTTGAGGCGAATCCAGCGGTGGCGACGAGGGCCTCCCAGGCCAAGAAGGGGAAAACGAGTGAAGGTTAGCAATATGGGCACGTTTTCCTCCTCTGATCACCGGGATGGACACCGCATTGATGATCTCCTTGATCATCTTCGGGTCGGACATGCGGGCCACGCCCTTCTGAGTGCGGATGTCGGCGGGGATCCGCTCCAACGCCATGACGGCGCAAGCCCCGGCCGCCTCGGCGATCTTGGCTTGCTCCGGGTTCATCACGTCCATGATCACGCCGCCCTTCGCTGCCATGGGTCAGGAGGATCTTGAGGGGAACGGGTCCCTCGCCATCGCTCGGACGTCCACTCCCCAGGCATTTGTCGATGTCGTGCGTGTTTTTTTTTTCGCTCGATGATCTTGGATGCTCCTCGATGGTCCTCGCCGAGAAGAAATGCACACGTCCGAGCGATGCCAAGGTCCTGGACCCCAGGCCCCAGGGCTTTCCCTGCGGCCAACTTCTCGCTCTGGGTCGCTTTCCGACGGCCCCAAGGGGGCCTGGGAAGGGGCACGGGAGGCCGAAAGCTGCGCGAAGCATCGGGGCCCCCCTTCCTCAGGACCCTTGCTCTTCATGGCAGTTCTCCTCCTCCCTTCAAAGGTCGACCCCTGGACCTCTCTCTCTCTCTATTTTATATAAAAGGAATTCAGCTGTTCGACCAGATCCCGATGTGCGCCCACCCGCGGCGACGAGGCGATGCACAAGCAGGGCGAACGACGCCCTCCCTAAAACCTCGAAGCTAGAAACTCGAGGGTCGACCCGATCCTGGGCCAGGGGGGCTGGCCAGGATTTTGGATCACTGCGTCTAGAACGAAGCCAATACGAGGATAACATCGGGTGAGGTCGAGAATCTCTGAGATCACTGGAAGATGTATCGATCGCCGCGGCCTTCTCAGAGCGTTCTGGAACGCTCTGGAACGGATTTGTCCTCGTCCTAGTCTCGTCCGAGCGTCGGATGTCAGGCGGCAGTGCGCGAGGACAAGCCGGCAAGCGTCGGTAACGCTGATTTCTCAAGCCGGCCTTCAACATGGAAGGCAAACCCTTCTTCACACGCTGGGAGCCCTCCACGAAGCTGCCAGTCTGCGCGGCCATCGCTGTCGAAATCCCCTCTGCCACCAAGCTCCAAACACGCGCGCTGCCTGCCAATGCCGCTTCGATCAAGACGGCTGCGGAACGTCGCCGTGTCGCTGGGCGCGCAGTGGAGCGTCCTCTGGTCTCCTCGAGTTCTCTGCGTTGAGGATTGCAGATCTTGTCCAGGGCCTCGTGACATTGGACTTTTATGGGCCAAGACATCTGTGCCACGGAGAAAACTGCAACCGTGTGTCGGAGCATTCTCCGTCATTCGCTCTCCCGCTGTATTTTCTACAGTCGGCCTTGAGTGGACAGGACACGCGAGAGGACACAAGACCCTTCCGAGGGCCACATTGCCATGGGGGATGTAGGAGGCATGGGTTGCGAGGCACAGGACACAAGGGTATCTAAGGGTACCCTTGATTTCGCAGGGTCGACCTACTAATCAGTGCCGACTGTACGAGGTCCTGTTTTCTGGGGCCCTGGATTGGGTTTACAAATGCCCCAGGCTCGAATTCTGTGGCGCTGCTGGGCGCTCCAGGAGATCTCTGCATGACTCTTTTCGGAGGCCTCGGCACGAAGGCTGGACTGAGATGGTCCCAGGGGTCCGTGCTGGAGCCCGCTTGGGGGCCTCTCGTGCCGCCTTGAAGGCCCTTGTGGGTCTGCCAAGGGAACCCAAATCTTTGAAACGCATGTCAAGTTTATTTGTATGGTTACGGTGGAGGCCGGGTCACAAGAAACCTTCCACAAGAAACCCAACCCTGAGACCCCAGGGCGTCCATCGATTTTCGGCGTGGAAGCGTCGCGCATTCCATCGCAAAACCATCGAAGCCCAAGAAACCCATGGTAAGCTGGAGGCAAGCATGGTGTTTCTTGGCATGGGTCTCCACTGTAAGAACTCCCGGCACTTCGGTCTTAGAAGCGCACAAGACGGCCCAAGTCCCCCAAGACGGCAAGCACGAACTGTCGTATCGAGCCCTACCCTCCAGCATGACCCCCGAGACCGCCAGCAGGCAGCAGGCCCCCCAAAGACGCCCCCAAACGCCCTCAAGAGGCCCCAAGCGATCTCCATGAGGGCCCAAGAGGTCCCCAAGAGGCTCCCAAGAAGCCCCCACGAGGCATTCCGAGAGATCCCCGCATGCCTCTCTTGTCCACAGCCAAGGAGCGGTGGGAACATGGGCCGAAGGCCGCTAGACTTAGGTCGGGCATGTCCTCCCAAAGGCGGATTTTGGAAGACAAATGAAACACAACCAACACACCGTCAAACATAGCTAACAGAGCACGCCACCAGACTACTGATTTACCATTCTTGATTATTCCTCCTTTAGAAGGAAATGCCCGACTTAACTCTAGACCCGCTACACCCGTTGCTTGCAAAAGCTGCTTGGCATGCCAAATCGCAAAGCCTTTTGCCGCCCCTTCCAAACGGTTCCCAATGGGGTCTCGGCTCAACCCGCCAGCCACGCGGAAAAAGGTTGGAGGCAAGGGCTTTTCCGCCCGAGATGGCCTCCACGGTGGTCCAAAGTTGCCTCCAACACAGCTGGATCGCCTCAAGAAGGCCCAACATGTCATCAAACCAACAGAAGATTGTTGCAAGACGGCTCAATACTGCCTCCAGGCAGCCCGTGCGGCCCCAAGACGCCCCTAAAGGCCTCCAGGATGACCTTTCGCAGGCCCCCGCCATTAACTCACCTTCGGTTTTTCAATGCTTGTCAGTTCTCGCTTTTTTTGCCTGCGGCAGCTGAAGACGACACCAGAGGCCTCCAGGATAGCCACATAGGGCCCTTGAAGCTGTCCAGAGGGCTCGAACGCAGGGCAGGAGGGCCCAAGGCTCTAGAACGCCTCAAAGTGAAGCAACCAAGACTTCCCCCGAATGCGAATAGGCTTCAAGGAGGCCCCCGGGGGCCTCCAAGAGGTCCCAGGCGGCCTCCGAGAGGCCCCCAGAGCCAAAGATGTCCACAGGAACCTCCCAGGAGTCCCTGGGCCCCAAGAGGGCCCCCAGAGGTCAGGTCCTCGTCTTCGTCCTCTTCCTCGTTCTCTTCCTCGTCCTCTTCCTCCTCTCCCTCCTCTCCCTCTCTCTCTCTCTCTTTCTTTCCACACCCAAATGTTCTCCCCAATGGTTTCCACAACGGCTGGCTGCATGCATAAGCTTGGCAAGAGTTCGGCCACACAGGCGTTTCCAGCAACGCAGTGGGCGACGGCGACTCGCCATAGGCGCCTTCGACAACATTAACACCTCAATGGGCCGGCAAGACGGAAGGCACCGTCTGGACATGCGTGCACCGCGTGCGTGCGTAGGTTTTTTGTTGTCTTTGTTTTTTGAATAGCGAAGATGGGGCATCACAACAACACAGTGAGGACAGACACTGTCTGTTAATATTGCCTGCGTAAGGGTACAACACACGCATGAAACAAAGGGCGGAACAAACGGACATCGCCACACAATGAAACAACTGTTCAAACAGCAGGAGACGTGCGCTGTGTTGGTTGGAGAAACACGTCACACCACATGTGGACAACCACAGAGGCGATCCCCACCGTGGCAATCACCACGTGCGTGCGTGCGTGCGTGCGTGTGCGTGTGCAGACATGCGCAAGAGCGCGTGTGCATGTACTCGGGAAACGAACTCCATACACCGACGCTTTTGCCGACGCAGCGCTGAAATCCGCACAGGAACGCGGATCCTGGTGTATACGGGATCCTGGTGCATCTATTTTTCGTTGTTTCCATTGGGAAACGGGGGAACATTATACACCACACCACCCCGACGTCGCTCCCGACCCTCAAAAAGTCGTGGGATTGAAAAAACAGCCCGCCTCTGGTAATGTATATGTTCCAATTTCCGATGTACCCAAACATCTGGCGATTTGCTTTTCGAATGCGCGGCCTCGAAAATTCCGGCTCCATCCCCAAGGGTCACCCTTTCGCCCCGGAACCATTTATGATGGCCGGTGGGGCCCCAGAACGGCCAACGGAGGCCAAAGTCGAGGAAGACCGCCAGGACCGACAAAAAACAAATCGTAGATCTGGGTGGTGAATGTTTTCTTTTTTCGGAGTTTCAACATGGGGCGGCAGAGGGGGGGTCTCGCTCTGGACCTCTGCTTAGTGCGACCGTTTGCAGCAGTGCGTCCTATGGGGGAGACTCCACCTGCTCGAAACGGGTGCCCCAAACAGCCAAGATCTACTCCAGGGGGGGGGGAGGCGGGGGTGCGAGGGTCTGCGCCGATCGGCAAAACAATGAATAAGAAAACGATCACGTGTGCGTGTGGGCGCATCCGAAGACCGAGGACGGCAGCTCAAAATCGATCCTGGGACCCCCCCGAGGTCCAAACGCACTAATTTTCCGAGCTGCGTCCAGCCATGGCGACGAGGGGGCCCCTCGAAGGCCCACTGCCGCTGTCTCATCTCGTCCTCCTCTGAGTGTGTGGCGTGTGTGCAGACATGTGCGCGAGCGCGTGTGCGCGTTTGAGCGTGCAGAAACCGTGCTACCATGGGGGACGACGTCTAAAGAACGAAGCGGCTTTCTGGCCACGGCGAGCCTCGGCCGAACCGAGCTCTAAGGAACGACCCGAACAACCAGATCCCCTCCGTTGCCCGAAGCGGCGCGCGCGTGGCCACTGTGGGCCCACGCGCGCGCCGGGGCCATGGGGGAAGGTGCAGTCGCCGCGAAGGCGGTGCGGAGCGTGCGTCGGCCCTGCGATCCTCGGCACACTCGCTTGGAGGAGAAGGGGGCGGAGGAGGAGGAGGAAGAGGAGGAGGAGGAGGAGGAGGAGGAGGAGGAGGAGGAGGGGGGAGGAGGAGGAGGAGGAGGAGGATTATTCTATTCTACCCCATTGCGTCCCCTGCGTGCCGAATAGTGAACTAAACTCAGAATGGCGTGTGCTGGGCCCTATGGTCGCGGGGTGCAAACGGCCTCGAAATTTGCAACTTCAAGAAACCGCTGTCTCCCAACGTGCAAAACAACTCTCAGTCAGGACTTCAAGCGGGCACGGCGGAGCACTGGCACCCAATGCTGTCACTGGATGGCCACTAGGCGCGCAACCGTGCCATCACTGGACAGCGGGGCACTCTGATCAGAATCGGAGTCACCCTCGGTCCCACAAAACCAGTACCTTTTTAAGTCATGCTCTTGAAACCATCCCGAGAGGAAAACTCAAAGACCTCGGGCCTTTCTAAAACCTCATT